TGTTGCTCAACAATGTTTCATCACATCTGACTGTTTCTGACTGTTGATTAACACAGAGTTTATTGTCAAGAGGAAGCATTGCTGTGACTGTTTATCATTCCATAACATTGGACTGACATCCATCGGTCGGAATTTAGCCTCATAATAAGCAATTAGATATTCTAATATTATTTTTTATTGTGTTTAAGTTTGGTATAAAAAAACCCCACCACATTATTGTTTATTACTTTGGGATTCACAGCAGAGAGAGTCATCTGTCAAAATAAATTAAAAATAAATTAGCCTGTCATTTTTAAATAAAAAGTCAAGGAGACAAAAATAAATAACTGAAAAAGTTGATAGAATATTTTGTAAAAGTGGCCTTTAGTCAGAACATAGTCAGGACCTGCTAAAAATGACTCAAGTTTAGCTTTAAAATGTTTTTCCTTTGACATTAATGTCATTTGCTGCACATCACGTGAAGTTCCATTTTCAATATTACATTCCTATTTTGTATATATTTATAGTGTTTGTTGTTTTTGTTATTTTTGGTTTGATATTGGTTCAATGTATTCTGTCTTACTATTGAGTGTTACTGTTCAAGATTTCTTTAAAAGTTGGTCAAAATGTAATAAAAACATAAAACCTGAGTGGAGGTCAGATCCTCCCTCCCCCCACCAAGAGGCACACGTCAGTCTTCAGAGGAGGCCAGGCAGTGAAGCGTCGTAGGTTATAATGAAAAGAATCCACGCTGGTTCCTCAGGCCGTCTCCTGTAATCGTTCTTGATTCCTCCTTTGTGTTTCACGCTCCACTCACTGCTGGGATGAAGATGTGCCTGCTTGGCCTATCACTGGCAGCCCAACTCACTGATTAACAAATTAAAGCTCTTCCTTGCCTTAATCTGTCTGGAGGCCTTTCGTGGAAACACGTTTGGCACTGACAGCACCTCTGCTTCCGAATTTAATTGGATTAGAAGAAAGCCTGGATTAATACTGCCTCAGAGAGGACGGCGTCCTGAGGGCGGCCAGACGTGGAAACAGGTGATGAAGTCATCTTAGAATACTCCACTGCTGCGAGATGTCTAGGAGGTCTTTGATATTGTGGAAGCAAGAGAAAACCTGTTTAAAAGAATGTGGATTCATTTACGGAATGTCAACAACGTTGCACCGGAGGGAGGGTCGGAGGCTGAAGTGATCAGCACAAGGTTCAACAAAATCAAGTGTAAAGAAGAACTTCATCCTACTGTGAAACAACTTGTCTAATAGGAAACTCAAGTTTGGTGAATGACTCACAGATGACATCGACTATAGATTACAGGGACACGTCAGTTGATCAATTTCTGCCTCAATTATTCAATTAGTTCAAATGTGGTGTTTAACGGCTTCAGTGTTCAATCCTTTGTTTATATTTACCCTCTTACACAAACACTCTTGTGTCCCTGATCTAAATAACCTTCTCTGTGGACAAACTTCACTAAGAGTGAGGACTTCATTTTTATTTCTTTATTTCGGACAACTGGCTCCAGAGTTTACAAAAGCTACAGTCAAAAACTAATAATCATTCTCCTGAAATCAGTTTTTCTTTCTTTCTTAATGTCACGGTTTCACATCCGGATGAGCTTCAACACTCTGCTGCTTCCAAAAATCAACACTGGATTTTGTACTGTCACTTTTCATTTTCCCTTCCACAGTGTCAAAAGGCTCCATGACAAATCGCTGCCCTGCTACTATTTTCCTCAAACCACTGATTCTCAGATTTATTCAGATTAAAGTAAAGCAACGGGAAGAAGAAAAAGACGTTTTGAATGTAGGTGTGTTTTCTGTGTCGGCTTTGTTCAGCCCAGAGTCTCAGTGAAACCAAGCAGCGTGCAGGAATTAACATTCTAATTAAAAGCCAGTTAGACACCTAATTACACTCGTGTGCCGCTCTTAGTTCTGCACACTATTCAGATTTGATGAGGCGTGTTAACCTTAATTAGCTCACTGATGTGGTGACTCTGTGTGACCACGCGATTTTCACACCAAACAAAGAACAAAATAGTAAGTAAAGTAAAACTGTGGGGGTTGGATGAAGAAACAAAGGAGGAAGAGGTCGGCTCTTTAATGTCCATCCAGCCATCCATTTTCATCCGCTTATCCGTTACGGGGTTGCCACCCAAATCACACTGCACTGTACCAACCCCTGAACCTTCCTGCAGGTGGTGAGTCCACTGGAAGGTACCAACCGCCCTAACCTGGATTCGAACTTGCCCAGGAGGTGAACCCTGGGGTTCCACACCAATGAGACATTGCCTCTGGGCCTAAGAGCCACCTCTTTACTGTCAGATATCTATAATAATAATAATAATAATCATAATAATAACAACAACAATAATAATAATAATAATAATAATAGTAATAACTATAACAATAATATCTAATTAGCTTTTTCTAAGCTAACTGAGCTGAGAGAGAGACAAAATGTTCCAAATTCACATATGCAGGCACTTCCAGTGCTCCCTCCTCCATTTTTTTTGTTTTCTCCTCCATCTTTTCATCTGCATTTCGTGGTTGTAGCTCCAGTATCAACAGACGTGAGGCCCATGTAAAGGAAAGGAAAGGAAAGTGAACTCCTTGTCACTGTGACACAGCTCACCACTGCACACAACCAAATGTGACCTCTGCTTTTAACCCATCACCAAATTGAACAGTGGTCAGCTTTAAGAGGAGCAGTGAGTGGGGACGGTGCCTTGCTCAGAGTACCTCGGTGGTAAGTTGGTTGCTGGTGGATTCAAACCTGAACCATCCAGACCCAAGTCCGCTTCCTTAACCACTAAATCAAATGGGACGTTACTGATTTTACAGAGAAGCTTCATTTCTGAAGACTCATCTTCCACAATCTTCTGTGCTTGTGGTTGCTGTTCATTGGATTAAAAGATGTGATAGAAGAGAAATGTGGTTCGTTTTGCTTCTTAATGTTCATCAGAATATTTACACCTGTCACCTCAATTAACATTCAGTTACACTGGTTTGAATGAGCAGCACATTATAATAGAAAACATAACGACAGGGACACTTTGTTCATGTGTTTTCAGTTCTTTTTGAAACATTATCAGATGCAAACCATAGATTTAACCATATGAACTATAAAAGAATCCTTCAACCAGAAGTAAACATTAGGTTCAGAACTTAACTTTAGAACTAAAAGAACTAGAGAGATGTGGATGAAGCAGAAAAAGATATAATTGATCGTAAAGTTAACCGTAACAAACAATCATAAAACAACTACATGTTTAACTAGTTAAACCAAATGGGTTATTGAATGGCAATGATGATAGCGTCCTCTCCTGCATTCAGGATCTGTGTTCTACGTCATACAAGGAATTACAACATGTAGTCTGCCTGTAGTCATCAAAAATGTGACTACAGGCTACAAAAATGTAGAAAAAAAAAACCAAACCGATTAGCTGTGAGTGCATCTACTGCTACACCTGGACCTGTTACTGCACGTCTGATGATAAGGATAAAGAATGTACTGTCAATGTGTTTGGAGACATTTCATGTTTAAGTTTTAAGGCTTTGTGTAAGTACAGGAAATCTGAATTCAAGATACAATGAAGGGACCTAATAAAACTGGTGTTGGTCTTGTTATCAGCTGAACATTTGTCTTTATTTTTGTAATGCTGTCACCTGATAGTAAGAGAAGAGTAATGTGAACAAGTCACAACCTCATCAAGAGTCATGACACAAATTAATACAGAATAAAACAATTCTTTTGGGTTATTAAAATGTGAAGGATATAAAACTAAGCAGAATGTCTTTTGTTTGTTTTCTCTGTTAGTTGCCTTTAAAACAGGTTTTTTACATCTGGTTTACAGATTTTTACCAAATCTCCTGCCTGACAGATATTTGACAGTACTTTATGAGAGCAACTTGGGTTGAGTATCTTCCCCAGGGACACATCGGAATCTACTTTGAATTAAACCTGTGACCTTGTGGTTGTCTTTCTACCCAAAGACCCACGTTGGACCTCAATGTTTATGGATGTAAAGACAATTGTGTTGGTTACAGAAACAGTAAGTTATTTATGTTCATTGCACGTTGTCATTTGTTTGAAGATGACGAGATCAGTTTTTATTTTGTACAAAATGTGAGACAGATGTTGTTGGGTGTGGTGCGTTCAGGGACTTTCAGCTCCAGCAGCTGCCTTCGAGTACAGTGGGAAAAACAGAATATAAAAACAGAATCTTGAATAGATGAAAATGTTACATTTATGGTGATAGATTTTTTTTAGATCAAATTAACTATTGCATGTTGAAAATTGTTATATAAAAATGACTAATGTATCGTATATTTTCCTGAGTAATCAGGATTATTGCAACATAAATGTTGGGCCAACCTTAATTGCAGTAGCTGTTTTCATGAGTCATGACATGAGTTGTTTAATGTAGTAGTAGGTGTTGTTCAGTACTGAATTGTTTTAGCAATAGTTGAGTTTGTTGAAATTGAATTGCATTACATTACATTACATTTATCAGACGCTTTTATTTAGTCATAATAGAAGTTGCAGTTGTTGTTACTTGTATTTTGTCGCGGGGTTGTTTTTGTAGTTGTGGCTGTGGTTGTAGATATAGGTAATGTAATTGCAGTTGTTTGTATATCTGTAGTTGCAATCAATATTATTTTGGTATTCGTAGCTTTTTGGTAGCACTTTTGTCATAGCTGAAGTTGTCATTTCATAGTTTATATTTCCTGTTTTAGTTGTTATTCTTGTTGTTGTGTTGTTGACTTTTTAAAATATTTCGTTCTATATTTTTATTATATTTCCTATTTCTATTTTTTAAACATATAATGTTTACTTAAAACTGTTCACTCTGAGAGCCCGCACAAGATTTCCAATGTGTCTGGACTGGTGGTTTATGCACACATGGCAAATAAATACGTTGAACCTTGAACTTGAACCTTGAAAAAAAACCGTCAACCCTTTTAGTTGTGTAATATCCAAGCTTTTTCTTCGGCCCTTGAATACAGCCTAACTGTGTGTCAAGTTTTCTCTCAAAACTGATGCTGCGTTCATGGTTCCGCTCTCCATTAGTTTTGATCTTGATTCCATTCTACATCCTTTTTTGTCTCTGTCGGCTTCTTTGTCTCAGAATTTTATTGAGGATATGATTGAATCGTGACTCATTAGAGTGAAGAAATATGTTCGCTGCTGACGTCACTTTGGTGTTTTCCTTTATTTCAGTGGGTCAGCTATTAGAGTAGGGCATGAGAACTACACACACAAACAGACAAACAGACAGAGTTATTGGCTGATTAGTAACCATTCATCGAATTGTCTCATTATGTTATGTCCTGACGGAACCAGCATGTGTCGAAGGCTTTTGTCGTTTCGAACTTGGTACCGACGCTCGAGCTCGTATCGGGGGTCCTGCGCTGGTGTGACCGACCTCGGTGCTTCGTATTCCGGGCAGAAGGGGCTGAGCACAGCGGTGCTGCTGCTGCTACTGCTAGGTTTAAGTTCGGTTTGTTCCACCGCTGAGGAGCAACACTGCCATGGAGCGTACGATTTGTACTTTGTTCTGGACAAGTAAGTAATATTACTGTGCTGTCAAAAATATAAAGTGGTACATGTAACATTTTTGTATTGTATTGTTCAACTGAAATTGTTGTGAAATATGAGCTCTGTACTGTATCTTAGACAAGAACATGATACCCCCTGTTGCTTTAATATATAAAAGTATTATTTTAAAACATTTGGTGTTGTTTTGAAGCAGGAAATGAACACAAAGTCACTGCAGCTGCTAACAAAAGAGTTTGTTTATGGGGAGGAAGTGTAGAGAAGAGTAGGGGAAAGAAGAAAGCATCATTTGAGGGAGGTGAACTGAGCAGGAACGAAAGGGGGGCATCAGTAGAAAAAAAGCAGAAAGAAGGAGAAAAGAGTAATGAAAAAGTAATAAAAGGTAATAGATACATAGGGGTAAAGAAAGGGTGATAAGGAATCAGGAAGAAAAGACAGGGAAAAAGAAGCCCAAAACAGAGGACACATGAGGAAAAATTCCACAACACTCAAAAGTTACATTCAAAAACTGACAAACTCTACCAATGACACACATCACACATTGGTACATTTTCTTCCCATTAATATAAGGCTATTTCAAGCCTGAATAATAGATGGATGATAAATGGGCCCCTGGATTACCACGAGTACCTACAGTATATTTGAATGAAGTATTGTGCCTAATACAGATATGGGTATTGGTGCATCTCAAGTATAAAGTAAAAATATTCTTTTCTGTTCATGTCGTCCTACCCTGTTCTGAGACATGCCCTCACTGCTTCAGCTGCTTTTGACTTCACTTCTAAAATAGTTCTTAAAACTGCTAAACTGCACAGAGTGACGATTGGCCTCCTAAACCTAAAGTTGTCAAAGTGGCTAATGCTAAACAATCAGCTAAATGAACAGATGCTGATGGGTACGTTTCTGCTGTAACTGTAGTTGTGACAAAAGCTGCTGCAATTACTGCTTCCCAATAAAGTTACATTTCCTAGGGTGGTGGTACTAAATTTCTACATTATCAGCTTCTGATGCTGCTTCTGCACTAAGTCGCTAACACTCTGATTACAGTTCTTGCCCAAACCACTCAAGTTTAACCAAAGCTGCTGCAGGAGCCGGTAAACCTACAAACCAAAACTGCAACTGTTTGAAAGCTTTTACTTCAGCTACCTGTGAAACTGTTGCCGTTACTCTTACAAACTCAAAACATCTGCTGATGGAGATACTAAATGTTTTTCTGCCCTTAAAGAGCCTACTGATGCTACAGCTGCTAAATCTGCAGTTAGGGCTGTTGCTGCTTCTCGCCTTCCTCTGACCCAGTTTCTAATGACCCCACCCACACTTTTCTAAACAACTGAGTTACAGTTGTTTGTTCAAAAGTGCTTTTTTTTTTTAACAGGAAACCGATTGCTTGATAGGTCATCTTGAATTCATCCTGCGTGACTTGCAAACAGCTAAGGAACCGTTTCATTTTTAGGTGAAAAAATATAATCTGTTTCTGTTCCTGGTTTCACAGGAAACAGCAGTTGTAGTGTATTTGGTTACTCTGATTGTTATAATCTTTGAGGCTCTAGATCCTTTTAGTTGTTTCTCTTAGCTTGTTTTGCCAAAAGACTCAGGCAATTATTTCCACTGAAAGTTCCCTTGAAGTGATGCATTCACGGTTGCTGGGATTTATCTTGTGTTTCTCATTTGTGCTCCAAAGTTTAGACATCAACAAACCTGTTACATTTAAATCACTGGTGTCACTTTGTCGCAGTAGTTCCAGTTAAACAGTCAACATCCAGAAAATAAGTATTTGCAATGTTGTGTCATTGCAAATACTGTAATGATGTATTGGCAATGACAAAAAAAAACTTTTGAAAAAACAGACTTTTATTTTTGATAGTTATGGTATAATTCTCTTGCACAAACACTTTATTTAGTAACCTGCTTCATTTTGGTAAATTAGGGACAAGATGACGCATGAAATAATACTTTTTTTAAATAAACAGAGACCCATGATTGACAATCATGTGGTTGTGGTTTAACATTACACACAGGAAGTCCAGTTTTCTTATAATAACTGGAAACAAAAATAGCTGTGATTTTTTTAGATGGCTTCAAACTTAGTCCGTGGAATTAATTTGAAAATTATAACGTGGGCAAGAAGAAACCAATACTTTAAATTTAGAAAGTGTAGCCGGAACAGTGCTCTTGTTTTAGAAAAAAAGTTGTTCTGCACTGAAACACACTTCAGTATGTAGCTATTTTTTTTAAAAAAGAGACATCTGTTATCCCTTATTTTACAATTCCTACTTTGTTTTCAAAATTATCACATTTGCTCAATTTTCTCTCTAAATTACAAATGGGCAACAATTAATTACCATCGCCCTTGAACCCCATTTATAATCGAGACAGTTTTTAATTTGTTTTCAATTAAATAATCAGTTTTATTTTTCTGAGGAAACCAATACATTTACTTTTTTCTTAGGTATTGAGTCATAAATAGATTAATAGATTTTAAATACAGCTTAAAATACAATTAAGACCAATATAATAAAGATATAGATTCCCTTAGTGATCAAGGACAACCCAATGAGAGGTGGGCGTGGCCAACCAGAGAAGTGTGTGAGAGTAAAATCTGTCCTTGGTGTAAAGAGGTAATTAAACTAATAATTACATTTGGAACATAAAAGAGAAGAGTTTGACCATTAGAGGCTCATCTTTCATTTCCTTTCTCCTCCTGGTCGTCAGAGTCAAGGTCGTGCTGGGATCGGATGAGACAGCGCTAAAACAAAGTTCCACTCTGCTCTAACAATATTGGAAAGTCAGCGGTGATTAGTGGCAAAGTTACTGGTGGTTAATCCTGTTTAAGTGGTGACACGGCCGTCATAACATTGAACACCGATAATGTCGCTGAGACGGGTGAAATCTCAGTACCTGCAACTTCAAAGGGAGTTTACAGTTTGAAGAAGTTGGGATATTTTACAGTTTACAGTTGGCTGTAATCTGATGATATAACATGAATGCTGCTTAGTTTTTCAACACATCCTGAGCCCATTTTAACCACCATTATCCTGGTGCTGGGACTGTTTGTTTTTTTTAACCTCCCACTCAGTCTCTCATGTCTCTGAGTTACAGTACTTCCTTGTCACTTTCTCTGGTTTTGGAAAAACAAAAATCTGGATCGGTTTGAGCCAAGTCCATGTAAGAGAGGGAGACAGAGAAAAAGAGCTTCTGTGAACATGTGCGGTTTCTAACAGCTGAAGTGCTGCTACATCACACTGGTGTTAATGTCCAAAGAACAAACACTCTACTGTATTTCTGATGATTTATTTATTATTTTTAAACACACATTTTTAAACAGGCTCTCTCAGCCTGCCTTTGCTCTGCTATTCTGACTCTTGTTTGTTTGTGCCCTGGTTCCAGGTCTGGAAGTGTCTCAGCCGACTGGATGGAGATCTACTCATTTGTGAGGAACCTTACCGATAGGTTTGTGAGGTGGGTATAAAATCACAGAATCGTCCACTTATTCGGTTTTAGCATTTAAATTAAATTGAAATATCTACATTTATTTACTTCTTTATGCAGTGTCCTCTCACTGAGGAGAATACTTTGGGAAACAATTATTTAGATAAAAAACAGAACAAAATCAATGGCATGAACATTTCAACAATGTTTTACAGGTGGTGTAAAACATATGTTTACCAGGGGCAAATCACTGGGCCTCATGCTTTTTAACTTTTGACACTTCAGATCAAATCCACAGGAACTGGTCCTGGAGATAATTTAATTATCATTGTTAAAATGGAAGTATGTGGGTGAAACTTCATCGTAAAGCTACATAGGTAGTTGGAATACTCACTACTTTTATTTGACTCTTTAAAAAAAACAAAAAAACAAAAGGCCCCAAACTGAACTATTTTCTACACAAAGTAAAAAATTGTTGATAGCGCCAGGAGGAAGTTCAGGGACATTGTGGGAATTTTGGTTTTATAGAAACCTGGAGATGGAAAGCAGTGAAATTGGAAAGTTTTTCCATAAACATGCAGAGCCTATTTAAACAATCTCCACTGGACTTATACAGCAGTGGAGGACACACCTGTTTGAACATACACTGCCCTGTTGTCGGACAGAAGCGTTCCTGATTATCATCATTATTGGAGTTTAAAGTGTGTGGATCTTTGAATAATGTTTGGGGAAAGCAGCGTTTGCCAGGACAGGACAGACGGTGGTGAACCAGCCAGCAAAGACAGGGTTTGGTTGAAGTGAAGAAAAATAGCAAAGGCAGCAGGTGGGAGTGGGAGGCAGCAAGGAGGAGAGTCTTCTGGGCTGTGAGAATGGACATTTGTACCCAGGGAGGTGGAGGAGAAGGAGAGAGAGAGGAGGCGGGATTTCACCACAGAATGGCGATGATGGCGACAAGTGACGAGGCGTAGACAATGTACAGTAAGAACAGAAGAGAAGAGTGAGGACAATCTGCTCAGCAACAGCACGTCTGCTGCTCCATGTGGACGCTATGTGCACTATTAACACACACACACACACACACACACACACACACACACACACTACAACACACATTAACACACACTCCCTGTGCTAATGCAATCTGAAAAACCAGAGTCAGCTGTTGAACTCCACCACCTCCAGTTCATCAGAAATATTATGACTAAATCCACAAATCCACATTTAAAAAAAAGTTTATAGCAAAAATAAAAACCTGTCATTTGTTTAAGGTAAAAGCACAAGAACTCTAACTTAACTCTCTTAACGTCTTCACTGACTTCATTCAGCTGGTGAACTATGAACTCATATCTACCATCGGATGCCAATAAAGTCGTTGGTTAATCACATCCCTTTTTTTAGGGATTAGTGAACTGAGAAACCTCGTCATCCCTTTTACAAGCAGAATGTAGTTGTCAGCAGCAGTTACCATCGTCTAAGTCTCCTTTTTTGGGTTTTTAAATTTCTTAGTACGTTTAGTCAATATTTCTACCTTCTTGTAAAGTGCTAATTTTATTTTTACAAGTGAGATGTTAAAATAATAATAAATTAAAAAATATATAAAACATGTTAACTGTTGGAAATTAACTGTACAAATCGATACATGTGTCTCAGAGTGTTTGTTGCTTCACACCTTCGATGACATAACAGGTACAAAGTGCAGCAAAAGGAAGTGTGCTGTATGTTTATATGTCGCTATAACAGCAGTTGTGTCATCAGAAACTTCCTGTTTTGAAGCTGAAGCTTTATCTTGTTTGTGTGCTTGTGTGTGTATCTGCACATTTTCCACTAAATAATGATAAAGGAAGTATTTAATGTGTAATAATGTATTTGAAAATAACACAACGTAGGTATATTCCTTAGGTTTTTTTTTCCACATATACAATAGGGTGTCATATTCTGTGGTTTGTTTTAGAATTTTGTTGATAAATTAATTGTAATGCAGCGACCATGTCTGATTATTTATTAATGATTAAGTTTCTCTTTCTTTGTCCTCAGTCCCCGAATGAGAGTCTCCTTCATCGTTTTCTCAGCTCAAGCAGACACACTGTTACCACTGACAGGAGACAGGTCAGGTCATCTCTACTTTAGTCTAACTTTTATTTATTGTATTAACCTTTAAATGTCTTTGAACAGTTTCATTATCTGTCAAACACTATCTATATCTATCTATTAAAATCCTTATTCCTCACAATGACTTTCAGCTTAATGTGATTTAAATTGAGGAGAAATTCTCTGGAACAAATCAATGTTTTGTGTGTTTCTGTGAGAAGATATGAGATAGAAAGGGGTTTGGAGAAACTGAGGAACGTAAAACCCGCAGGTGAAACTTACATGCACGAGGGAATTAAAATGGTGAGTTTGTATAACATATATATTGTTTAATAAATTGATCCAATCTGACCTAATGAAAAACACCCTCATTGTTCATTTTGTAAATAATCAGGCCACAGACCAGATAAAGCAACAGGCTACAAAGTCTTCCAGCATCATTCTGGCTCTGACTGATGGACAACTCCCGGTTTATGTGCATGAACTGACAGTGAAGGAGGCAGTATAAGAAACGTAACATATAAATAGTAACACATTAACAAAAGCTTAACTTATAGCATGCTGACATTTGTGCCAATTTTCTTTTTTTTGACATTTGAGCCAAAAAAAATATGACAAAACTTCTCACTTGTTGTTCGTCAAAGTCTTTGATTCCCACACAATAAACTCGAGATCCAAACATCCTGGCCTCGTCTGCCTGCAAACGAAATTCAAATGTATGAATATTTTAAATCAGAAGGAAACAGTTTCTGTTTATACAGTTTATGTAAACTGTATATATAGTTTAAATATAAACTGTATATATAGTTTAAATATAAACTGTATATATATATATATATATATATATATATATATATATATATATATATATATATATATATATATATATATATATATATATACAGTTTATATTTAAACTATATATACAGTTTATATTTAAACTATATATACAGTTTACATAAACTGTATAAACAGAAACTGTTTCCTTCTGATTTAAAATATTCATACATTTGAATTTCGTTTGCAGGCAGACGAGGCCAGGATGTTTGGATCTCGAGTTTATTGTGTGGGAATCAAAGACTTTGACGAACAACAAGTGAGAAGTTTTGTCATATTTTTTTTGGCTCAAATGTCAAAAAAAAGAAAATTGGCACAAATGTCAGCATGCTATAAGTTAAGCTTTTGTTAATGTGTTACTATTTATATGTTACGTTTCTTATACTGCTAAAAAAATGATGTTTTTTCCAGAAAAATATTTATGAAGATTAAAATGTTTTTTGCATAAGTCCGTTGTTATACCAAAAAAAAGCAACTTTTTCAAATTAATGATTTTTTTTTTTTTCTTTTGCTGTGACTAATATACTGTTACAGCAATTAGACACATTTTACAAATACATATGTATATATACATATATGATATTTATTGAAAATTAAATCTTGTATGTTCCACTGTGTTTTCTTCTGTGTATTGTACCAGTTGGTGGACATCGCTGACACCAAAGACCAGGTGTTTCCTGTCAAAGACGGTTTTCACGCTTTAAAAGGGATCATCAACTCTGTGAGTCCACTCTGTTGTTGTCTGTATGAATGTGTGTGTGTGTTTGTGTTTGAAATCCTTCTGATCACATTTACCCTGGTGACTATAACTGACCATAGGAAGCAGCAGTGAACCTGCAGCTCCTGTCTTACTGATTTCCTTTATATCAGGTAAAGTATAAAAAAATCCTCATTTTGACATTGTCTGTCAGAATTCCTACCTATTTGTTTATAGATGTGATGAAAAACAGCCTCCTTTTAATATTTGTGGATTTTCCTAGATGGATTATTTCACTCTGTAATTATGGAGTAAATGTCTCCTCTCTGCTGTCACCTCCTGCTTCGACGCTTCTGTATCACTGCGTCATCTTTAATAAATCTGCTGTAAACATTTGCTGAGGATTGAAGTTTGTTCCCACCTCAGATGAAAGCTTCCACTGTCCTGCGTTGATGTTAATATGCTTCTCCTTCCGCCCCTCGCTCTTCGTCCATTTGCATAGTCGGCTGATTTATTGAACAGCAGCGGCGGCGATGTGTTCAGGCCTCTTTATATGTTAATGCAGGATCCACAAAGCTTTGTAATAGAAGGAAGCAGTGGAATAATTTTCCTATAAAGCCCGGCACAGCTGCCAGGCCGCAGCGAGATGTTTCTCAGGTGTTGATCCCTGATCTCTTTCCTAAAGTTGACAGAGCTGATAACAGGCTACAGTTGATGTATTTATTCTCCTGCTCTCTGAGATAATGTGTCCGTTTTATTCTGTCTTTATCGGCTGCAGATATTAAAACGCTCGTGCACAGAGATCCTGAGTGTGGAGCCATCCAGTGTCTGCGTCAACCGTGAGATTTTATCATTGACAAATTCCCTTTTTTTTAAAAAAAAAATCATATTGTTAACATTTTTTGTTACAGCTATTACTGGACACAACTTTAATTGTTATTTGCTATTTTAAGAAATATTCTTGGCCAACCCAGGGTTAATTTCAGTTGTCCGTTAGCCAATTTCACATGGTTATTTTTCATGCTTTCATTTATTCTATTTTTTAAATGTGTTTTTATTGTTTGTTTGTAAGGGAAAGTGAATGTTAATAAATGTATCAAAAATCTGAATTAGAATTAGATTCACTTAACTGGGCTTGTTTTTATATTTATTTATCTATTTATTTTTATTTTTATTATTTCTATATTCCTGTAGCTTTATATTCTGTATTGAGTTGTTTGTTTTTTTAAACTCAAGACTTTAAAAATGTTACTCTCCTTAATATGTGGTTTTTTTCATCGCAGAATCCTTCGACATTGTCCTCAGAGGAAACGGCTTTGCTTTGGGACGCAGCAGTGAAAATGTCATCTGCAGCTTTATTATTGACGAACAAACTATCAGTAAGTGACTTATGAACAAAACTTAAATCTAAAAACCAAAAAAGATAACACAAATATACCATAACATTAATACTACATATTATAAACATTTAGATTGTTTTTATTTAATTGTTGATTTTGTTGTTTTTTCCAGATAATAAACCAAGTGTTGTGCGTAATGACTATCTTCTGTGCCCTGCACCAAAGCTATATGGAGTTGGACAGTAAGTACAAGACACGGTAATGTCATTGCATTTATTACAGATGGAAAAAAGAGCATTGCAGCCTGTTGAGTAAAGGCACAGTAAGCACTGAATGTTGTTAATAAGGCTTAAAATAACACCTACAGTTTTATGACAACTTGTGTAATGACAGACTTCCCCAGAGAATTTATGAGATGTTCCTGGAATGAAAAAAACATACAATCAGAGATTTGTCTAAGAATAAAAATATATATATTTGGTTAATTTTCTTGTTGTTGATACATCTAAAGAAAAAAACATCAAAGTTAATGGTGTCAATGCAAAGGTTACTCCCAAATTGAATTCCTTTAAATGGACTGATTTATTTTACTATTTTAGTGTGTTTAATGTAAAAAAAAAAAAAAACACAAAAAAACTCAACCTTAATACATTTAATGTTCGAAGCACCTGTCGGAAAAAAAAAAGTTGTTTTACATGTTTAAGGTTATCTGTCAGATTCTAGCAAAAGAAAATTGTACTGTCTGATAACAGTTGCTGTTTTTGTCATTTACATTACATATGTTTTTATTTTACATTTTTTATGAATAATAAATGATTATTTATAATTTGGTTTTTGCATATGTAATGTAATACTTTTATAATTTATAATACTTTTATAATTTATAATTTTTTCTTACACCTATTCCTGCTCTGATAATTTATATATAATTTAATAATAATGATTTAACATACACTTGGTAAATGGTAAAAATGTGACCGTTTAGTAGAGACTAAGGATCACTTAGTTAAATATTTCACTCATGTGACATAAGAATAAATTAGAGGAATGATAAATTGAATTAAAATAAATTAAATTCCAAAATGACCTAACAATGTAACATTTAGCTGCGGCCGCTGCTGCAGTGACAATTGAAAGTGAACATCTGGAGGAGCTTTCAGATGAGGCTACGACAGATGCCTCCTGTTCGTTTTTCCACATTTAAATAATTCACTGCGCTCTGAGAATCAGAACCATCAGGAACACCAGAGTCTGGAAAGTTCTGTCTCTGTCCATCTGTCAGCTCCTGCTCCAATCCCATCTCTGTTAGCGTCACTGTCCATTCAGGCAGGGAATAATTCGCATTTCCTTCACCCTTGTCGTTTTACACGTGGGGCTGCTGCTGCTTTCTGTTCCCTTGCGATTGCTGCCCACTTTCCGTGTCCTGACCTCACAGATGTGGATTTCAGTGGAACATATTTTCAGGCTTTTCTATCCCAGCAGGGACGTCCCACTCACTGCTTCACGTCCCAGACCCTCAGCGTCCTGAATTGCGGCAGCTTTGCACGGACGTGAGCGTCATCATCTGTGGCGACAGCTGCGACATCAGGCTGCAAACAGAGACATCTGCTGATTTTCCTTTCTCCTCTTCCTCCCCCCGGTGTGCACAGCACCCCCACTGTGGCCACCATGGAGGGGTGAAACGCTGCGTTCTTGTTCTCTTGCTGTTTTCGCAATAACGACGCAGGACAAAGAATAACTGAGCGAACGAGCAACACCTGCTTGACAAAGCAGGTAGAGAGGCTAATGCTAATGCTAGTCAATAATTAAACAGGCTGCACAACGCCTTCCTCGCTGCAACATCACTCCATCTGCTGCTTCCACATGTTAGCTGTGAGTGTTTCTTCGTTGGCCACAGTGGATCCAATCAGAAGCAGCATGTTATCGTTTAGTGGCACACTGAGGTTCTGTGGTTCGTGTGCTTCTTTTTAATTATGTTGTGTTGAGCCAAGACCCATCAATGAATTCCAACACTGAGTCTTTGGTTGGTTCTATAAGACCCTCTGACATCAAACTTTGGAAGATGCTTCTTTGTAGTAGAACCAACTTGGACACTACTTTTCACCTTTGGTTAACTCTCCTTTCAAACTCAACTTTGGACCAAGCTTCTTGGACCATCACTTGTTAATAATCCTTTCACTCCCTTCCTTGTTGAATGCTCCTTTCCAACCAACCTCCCATGACTTGAATGGCTTTGTTAGTCTGCTGAGACTGTGACTCAATTTTTTTGAAGTATTTATTTTAATCGAACGTAACTTTAGTAACTTATTCTGAGGGAGATTTTATTGAAAGTTGAACGTTGCCAACTGAACGTAGATGATGTGTGTTTTTGAGCCTTTATATATTAAAGTGAAGCCACTTCATGAAACTTTCTTCTACATACTTTATAAAGTTAGCAGCAGCTGTTGTTCAGAACCTTTACTTTTTTTTTCTTTTCTTTTGTTCTGACTATAACAGCTGTCTGTCTTTTACATGTCATTATTGTCTCCGGTTGCTTTTTAAAAACGTCCTCATGACCACACATACCTGATCAGAGTGACAGCTCCTGATTTTTGAGCGACGGCAGCTCTGAATTATTCAGGCTGCTCACTTTAAAAGCCATTTGCTTCGCCGTTGACAGCAGCTATAGCTATGATGCTTCACCAAAGCTCAGCGTCATACAGATTATCAGGAGATGGAGAAGCTCGACACTTAAACTCTGAGCAATCCCTCAGCGCTGGCCTAGCTTCGCTCATTGATTTACCATTACTTACAACAGAAACAGCTACAGTGCCCCCTCACTGTCACGGTAGGATGATACAGCAGCAGCATCGCTGGTTTATGGACATTATTGAAACAAATTTACTTTCATGTTTGTCCTCTGTATATTTTAAACTAAGTTAAACCAGCTTTAACCTCTTTGCACAGTACATTTTGCCTTTTGTAACTCTGTCTCACACACACACAGACGAATGTGCGTCTCTGTGAGGATTGAGCCTCATCTGGTGCAGTGGGTCCCTGATCCTCCTTTAGTTCAGTACACGAGGCCTCGTGCTTAACTAAAAACAAAATGCTCATTTCATATGTTTTACTATTACATACTAAATATACTTTACAAAAATATTTATACTTTTTCTTATTATTTTATACAACTTGTGATGCTTAATGGTAAGAATTAACATGTAATGACATTTATTTATTCATTTATTTCTTCAATGTAGTATCCATTATATATTTTAATGAATTATAAATTAAATAAGTATATACCTTATTTCGATTGCATGTTTTAAAGTCATTATTTACATTCAATGTTAATATTTCTTTGTTCAGTTTAAAACAAACTACTGGGTCAGGGGCCTCTTTTGGCTTGTGAACTTCTCACATCTGACCCATGACTAGATATTAATTATTCAGTTTTGTCCATGAGATAATTTAAAAAATATGTATTTTCCTTCTTGCTTTTATAATACTTAAACTCATAATTTAAGAATGAGAAGATACAATTTTAAATTTCTGTTTGCTCTGTAGTATTTTAGATTGTGTATATTGAAAACAGATTTGTGTCCCTCCAGTGAAATGATGGTGGCAGCAGTCGCTTAGTTGTGATTTAAGATTTTGATAGAAACCTTTAGTTAATAAATGCTTCTTCTAATTTCCCCCAGGACTATGGACGTTCTCATCAGCCTGAACAACGGAAAGTCCTTTGTCTCCAATGCCTTCACCATCAGTGCCTCCACATGTGTGAGTTGTGATCACATTATATTCCTTTCTAATGTTAAGGGTCGTTTTATATACAAAAGTTACAAAACTCTAACAACTAACTCAACACCAAAGTCCATAGAGACCATCAGTGATTGTTACTCACGGGGACACAGAAGCTGTGGGTCCCCTGTTGCCTCCTGTGGTCAGTTCGTGTTCTTGAAGTGACTTTAAACAGATGATTTCAAACATTAAACATTAAAGTGAGAAGACAACAGATTTAAACTCACCGATGGAGGCAGCAGTGGATCGTCTGTTATTGTTGTCTCTTTTACTTAAAATTGTTTATCTTCTCGATGGAAATGGTGTGAGAGTAAGTTCTTTACAAAAGGCATTTTTATTAAATATTCTACTTAACAAATCGTAGTCGTATTATTAGTAATTTTTTAAATACAAACAAAGAGTGATTTTTGTTTTTGCTGCTTGCAGTCTGATGGTCTGGTTGTGGCCATTATCTTCCTGGTTATACTGGCTCTAGTGGCGCTGGCCATGATGTGGTGGTTCTGGCCTCTGTGCTGCAAAGTGGTAAGAGATGACAGAGATGATGAAAAAATATATACTTAATACCTGTTTATATTTAATTGTTCAGCCCTTAATATATTTGGTTTTAGTTTTTTTATCCCCTGTGATGGGCTATTTCATATCTTTTTTAAAATGTTATCTTATTTAATTTCTTTGAGTAACCAATTTAAAACATTTTATTTAGCCTTTTTTTTAAGTTAGCGTCCATTTAAATGTATTAATGGGATAACATTTAGTAGATTAACACAGTAAAAATGTTTAGATGCATTTATTTAGGGCATTGGTGGCTTTGTGGTTAAGGAAGTGGCCTTCCGGAAGAGGTCCCGAAGGCTTCCACCACTGAGACCACTGTGGTCTGAGCATGACACCGTCCCCACTCACTGCTTCCCTTAGCGCTGCCTACTGTTCACTTTGGTGATGGGTTAAAAACAGAGGTCACATTTGGTTGTGTGCAGTGGTGAGCTGTGTCACAATGAATGAGTTCACTTCCGTATAACTGACGATAACTGAAGAAAAGTAAGTATTTGAGGTGTTCAGGGTCACTCAGTAAAAACCAGGTTCACAGTCTAACAATCAAAATGGATTGTTAGAGTGTGGGTTGACAGGTGTGGGTGCATGAGTTATTCAAAGACCATATTTGGGTTTGTGTGATGAAGTGATCGAGTGTGGTTCATTGTGGTTTAACAGGAAACTAAAACCACCACTTCAACCACTGTAGCTAAGAAACCAAAAACAGGAAGTCAGGAAGAATCAGTGGGGGTGGATAAAACAAAATATGAAGAAGAAGAAGAAGCAAGAGAAGATGAAGAGGATGAGAAGATGAAAACGCAGGGAGGAGGATGATATGCAATAGGGAAGTGAGGAGGAAAACAGAAAATGGTAAAAAAAAAAAAAAAAATACAGACAACAAATACTAGAATACTGGTAACAAGAATAAAAGAAGAATAGAAAAAAACAGTAAAAGGGGGAACTGAAAAGATGTAGAGGAAAAGAAGATGGAAGTGTTTGTTAATATTTAAAGCAAAGTTTGTTTTCAGCATAGAAACAATACACATGGTACTGAAGCACACTGTCAGAGGTAGAAAAGCAAAGAAAGTTTCCAGAAACTCTCTTGAAGAACGACTTTTGAAAATCCTTAATTACTGACACTAATTCTAACACCAATTTAAAATGTACCACAACACATCTTTATTCTCTTTTTTTTTTTATTATTTAAAAGTGCTTCAGCCATGTGTGTTACCGCTTCATCCTATATTAATCCAGAAAAAAAAAACAAAAAGAGAGGAAAAAGACTTGTAATGGCACAACACTGGCAGTGTTTCCAAACCTCCTCACCTCTGCTCTTGTTCCATCATTCCCTCAATCAATCTTCCTCCTCCTCCTTCTCATCCTCCTCCTCCTCCCTGAACAACAGACGTCACCTGGCTTTTGTTGGACCTGCAGGGAGCGCCTGTCCAGAATGAGATGGAAGCATATTTTGGAAAACCAACAAAGGCATTAAAATGTAAACCCCCTGCAGCATGTCTGGAGCGTGCACGTGTTTGTCTTGGTGCGCGGAGAGCTGCTGTTGCCTCTCGTCCAGGGACGCGGCACAAGAGGAGGTGCCATGTGTGGCTTGTTAATATTTAAACCCCCCCAGTCTGCCAGGTTTTTACCAGTGAGTGCCACACACAAAAAAACACACACACACAAACGCATACTCATGCTCTTTCCCACAAACCCCCTTGGCCTAGTGCCAGCTCAGAGGTCACACAAGCTGTGGATCTGTCATTTCTTTGTTTATCATTTGTTTGTAGAGTAAACTCCAGAGAGGTGGAGCCTCTGGTTCAAATGCCAGGATTTAGACTTTAAGACTTTTAAAATAATATTTTAATGTTTCTGTCTGAAATACAAATGAGACAAAGTCATTTCATTAATATGTGGAAGAGCCCGTTCAGGATTTTGTGAAGAAGGAAAAAAGTGACAGAGACCCACAGAGACCAACGCAGGGCAAAAACAGCTTGACATTTCTCAATATACTGTTAAAAATAGTTATAAAACAGGAGTTTTTTAAGCTCCTGCTAAATGTGTGGTTAGATTTTATTTTTTAACTTAATTAAAATGGCCTGACTGCAAGATTTGACGTGTGAGTCTCCTCTGGTCAGGGTCCATATCCTTCTCCCCTTCTGGTGTCGTGACTGCAGCCCAAAGCTCATTTCATAGTTTATAATCGTGGGGTTTAGTTTTAATCGCACATCCACGTCACTCTTCACATCTGTGTCAGGTAGTTCTAATCCAGCAGCTGTCATTAATTCCTAATTAATTCCTCAATATGTCTAGAAAATCTGCTCACTCAGTGAAATCAGATAATCCGGCCTCCATGAGGTGTAGCTGAAACCATGACCATACGCATTTATGGGCTTTAGCATCTTCTGTGTATGTCAGTGCAGAGATTAAACGCTAATTAATTATTATTGTTTTATTATTGTAATTGCAACAAGGTATGAACAAAAAAACAAACAAACAAAAAAAAAACAGCTGTGAGTCTGTGGCAGGTAAGCAGCACTATGGTGCCTTGCATAAGTATTGACCTCCAATGCAGTTGTTGTTCACTATGTTGATGCCTCAAAGCCTGGAATGAAAACTAGATCGTTGGAGTGTTTGGATTGTTTAATTCAAAGAACATGCCTAAAAGAAAACCAACTGTTGTGAAGCAGACAGGGACTACTGTACTTCCCCTCAGGGATTGATCAGTCTGATACTCCTGATCGGTATCGTTCTGATTGTCCAAAATTTCAGGATCAAACATCGAAAAAAACAATTCTGTTCGATCAAATACCTAAGCCTAAACTTAACTTATACCTGTATCAGCGGATACTCTAAGTTGCAGTATCGAACATGATGAAGTTATATGGAGACATCTCTACTTCCCCTAAAAGTAGTAGAACGGAGCCCCACCTTTTGTGGTGGTTAAAACTACCAGTCACATTCTTTGCCGCATGAAGCCACTTACTCATTTCCAAAGGCACACCACCTACACCTTTCTTGTTGAGGGTTTCACAAGTGAACACTTGATCATTCATTTCTTAATGACCTTGTATGCTTTTGCTGCCTTTTCCTAAGTGATTCTGACTTTGTGACGGATCACAGGTTCTAGATCAGTTATCATTCTTTTGAATTTAGACTCCCATGGGTCTTTATCCTCTATGTTATATATCCTCAATGTCAAGATCAACTTTGTTTTCCTGAAAATGCCTACCTGTTTCTGAAGTCACCAAATCGTTCTCAAAATGTGGATTGCATTATGATGACAACACACTGCAATCATTTTTATCATTAAATCCTATTTTTTTTCTGTCCACTCCTTTGGTAAAGCCCTCCTTAAGGAGCACAGTTCATTTTCCTTTATCCCCCATACTGTACTTTTCCTGGTGAGTTTATGCTGCAGTCGTATGTCTTTGTAACAGTTCCTATTTGTTGGTGGTCCCTGGCATTAGTTCTGCCACACTCGCCCTCCTCCCCTTCCTGCTCCTGTGGCTCACGTTGGAACTAATTAACTCCTCAGGACTTTACGATGGCGGCGGCACTGAACCTTATCCAATTAATTAGCAGCTTAACGGGCTGCAGCGGCAGCAGCGGCGTTGTCTGCTCCTGTCAACAAGTTGACTGTGAGGTTCTCTTTATTTTCCACCAGAGGCCTGATGTTGGTTTTACAGCTGTCTGCTGGGAGCCACGTGGACGCTCAGGGAGACTGTGTTTGTGTGTCTCATAGTCACCAAACACAAATGTTTGTTTGTGTATGTGTGTGTGTGTGTGTGTGTGTGTGTAAGAGAGAGAGTGTGTTGTGTGTATGTGTGAGAGTGACAACGTCAATAAAAGTAAATTAGCTGAATTAAAAATTGGTTTCAGAAATGAGTGTGTGACTGTATTTGTTTTTATTTTTTAACAGGATCAGGTCTTTTTTTCTTTATTAATTTCTGGACTAGTGGTCTTAACTGGAACCAACATCATTGTATCGGGTCGGAACTTCATTTGCAAGACTTACTTTAATTTAGTCAGAATTCAGGAGTCAGGATTATGGTCTGGTTGGATTTGGTATTAAGAATTGGTGAGGTTTTGGATTATGGATAAAAATCCTTTTTGCACCATGTATAAATGTAAGTCAGTTTTTGGTCCTGACAAGAATAGCTGGACCATAATGTGCTTTCCGTATGTATCCGTATCTGTGTTTGTGTACGTGTGTGTGTCGGTGGACCTTTTGTTAAAATGTGTTTGTGATTTCTTTTAATTCAGGTAATCAAAGATCCACCTCCACCCCCACCACCGTCTCGCCCTCCACCACCTGTAAGTAACTCTTTAGGAGGTCAGAAATATTTGGTTCTTTTGTAACTATTTCAAAAAGCATTGTTTTATTTATTTATTTTACAAAAAACCAAACTGGTAATAAAATGCTCTTCCTCAGGAACCTGAGCCTCTGTCTAAGAAAAAATGGCCGACAGTTGATGCCTCGTACTATGGAGGAAGAGGAGTTGGAGGAATCAGTCGCATGGAGGTAAGAGTGCAGGGCTTTTTATATATTTTATCACATCCAAGACACTTTTTGAGTCTTTTCATTTAGTCTGGATGTTAAAACACCTCACTAAATGTCCAGAATCTAACCAAACTGTGAATGTTTTGATTATGAAATGTTTTTATTATGAGACAAACACCCCCCCCCCCCCCAAAAAAAAAAAATATTACTGCCTTTGGAGAATGAATCTCAAATCTCCTCTTCTTGAGGGACATAAAGAGTTTATCTGAATTACTGTTAGGAAACCACTGATGATTCTGTTTTTGTTTTAAACAATGGTGGTGCGAGAAAAAGACAGTTGGTTGATGATGAAGAGCAAGCACCACTGTCTTCGTCACTTCACTGATTTCCACTCTTGCAGTGTGACAGGAGCTGCCACGTCTTCCTCCATCAACCTATGTCTAATCACATTAAGAGGAGGTGGAGATAAAAGACGCTGTCATAATAGTACTTCCATCTCATCTTCCTCACCTTCCTCACCTCTCCTTGCATATTAAACTCAATAATTTTCCAAAGGGAATACGGGTTTTAACCTCAACTACCATCCTTCACCCCCTCCATCTTTTCACTGTCTTGTCCCCTAATGTTTATCAGCCTAAGGGAAGTTGCAGGCATTTCCCAGCAACCTTAGGGAGCTCCTTCTTCACTTCACCCCCACACGAGCCGGTGTCAGGTCTCTGATCTTTGCTGCAGCAGGATGTTTCTTCTTGTAGGAGAAAATGTTTGAAGATGATGTTCTCACTAGATTTGGGATCTCAAGAAATGAAAAAACACCAAACACTCAGCTCCACCTCAATTGATAAGAGGTACTTAACAGATTTAAGATGTCAAGATATAATAATACAGAACCCTTAAACACCACCACAACTCTCTCCTTCTTTGATTTTACCACCTCCTCCACATTTTTGACACAGACAGTAGGTGTTAATAACTAAACTAATAGTCCCTCACCTACATTTTTTCCTATACAGCACCTTGACCTCATCTTCCTGTTTCGCAACATTTTCCTTTTTCCTACTTCAGTGTCCTCCTTATGGGGGGTCCTCACTTTACGGTGTCCTCCACCTATAGTGTCCTGTGGTTACATCACCATCTCCCACAAATTTAGTAAGAAAGTCTTGTTCCATCTCGACATATGGCGTTAAAACTCAGTAACTAGTTAGCACAAGAAGTAGTTGGCGAGTCAAGCGGACGAATATGTGGTCACCCACCTCCACCTTTGTCCTCTTCTGCCAGTCTGCAGCCACCAAATGTCAAATAATAGTTTCGTAATTTAGTAAAATAATATATATATATATGTATATATATATATATACATATATATATATAT